AAGAAGAAGAAGAAGAAGAAGAAGATATTTTTGTCTTTATTTAAGATTGTACAATATAAGTACATTTTGAATATTGAAAATATTGAAATATTATTATGAAAAGATAATAGAGAAAAGTTTTAATAGGAATCAATCTTAATAAATTTATAAATTAAATTATAGAATTATTATATTATCTAGCCTTAAAAAAATATTTTAAAAAAATCCTAACAAATTTTATTATATTCCTATAGTATTCAAATGCAAAGTGTGCGGTAATATTGAAAGACAAAGGTGCTCTTTGCCTCGTGGAGATTGAAGCAAAAGTGCGAAACACAAAAGAGATTGCATCAAAATACAGTTTTGGGCTGGGGCTATTGGGTTTGGTCAGATGAACAGGTGATTCATAGCTTCTCCATCCCAAAAGAAGAGAACAATCAGAATCTTCCAAATTTAATTCAAAAGGAACAAAGATGATGAAAACAAGAAAACCCAGATCTACTTCACCATCTTCTCCCTTATTTTCTCACTCCCCAAACGCCTCCTCAACCCAGACCAATTCCCTCTTTTCTCGCATGGCGCGAAAATCTTCGCTCTTCAAACAAACCCTAATTGCTACCCTTTTCTTCATTCTTGCCATCTACGCCTTCTTCGTCACCTTCTTCCACACCCCATTCACCGCTTCCGACCCTTCTTCTACTGATGAGGAGCTCGAATTGTCTTCCCGGGAAAATCTCGACTTTCCCGGGAAAGAAATTGACCCATCTGGGTTTGGGGGAAAAGTTAAGGTCTTTATGTACGATCTACCCCACAAGTTCACTTACGGCATTATCCAGCAGCACGGGCTGGCTCGTGGAGGATCGGCTGTTGCCGATGTGACCACGCTTCAATACCCCGGTCACCAGCACATGCACGAATGGTTCCTTTTCTCTGACCTGGCTCGACCCGAATCGGAGCGCGTTGGATCCCACATCACCAAGGTGAACGACCCGGAGGAGGCGGACCTTTTCTTCGTACCGGTATTCTCCTCCTTGAGCCTGATTGTGAATGCGGGTCGTCCCCCTGGGTCGGGATCCGGGTACAACGATGAGGGGATGCAGGAGGCGCTGGTGGAGTGGCTGGAGGGGCAGGAGTACTGGCGGAGGAACAACGGATGGGATCACGTGATCATCGCCGGTGACCCTAACGCGCTGTACCGGGTCGTGGATCGGGTAAAGAATGCGGTTCTGTTGGTCTCAGATTTTGGGAGGCTGAGGCCGGACCAGGGGTCACTGGTTAAGGACGTGATAATACCATATTCACACAGGATCAGTGCCTATACTGGGGATTTTGGCGTGGAGGAGAGGAAGACACTACTGTTCTTCATGGGAAACCGGTACCGGAAAGAGGTAATAACCAAGAAATCCAATATATGATTCTTTTCCATTTTACTAGTGCCTTTGTACAATTAGGAGAAATTTCATAGTTTGTCTTAATTTCGGCTTCTAGGAGTTGACATTATAGAGATGACTAGGGAAAATTTGGATAGATTTTTGGAGCTCCTGATTTGTATTAGAACTCTGGCACTGGATTTGAGTTCTTTCATTTCTGTCTGTTCAGCTCAACTTTTTCAGTATGGTAGTATGGATTTAAGCTTTTCAAAATTTTCTATTATCTAGAGAGGGGATTCAAATTTAATGTCTTTAGGATCTCCACTTTAGATGAGAAAGCCAGATTTTGAAGAATAAGTTGTTGGATTGGATGCCTTAATCATAGAATTTTGGGAAATGGAAAGTATTGGTCATTAGTTTATCTGGTATGATGATAGATAAAGCTTTGAGAAGTAAAATACTGTTCTTGATTGCACCATGAAGCACTTATTTTCTGAGTACCATTGTTAAATCCAGTGACTTTATAATCTGAGCTATGTACAAAACTTATGGGTTTGAAGGATGTACATGGTTTGAGCAATATGTGGGATCAAATGGAATTTGTATCTAATTGGGAAATCAAGAGATTTAAGACAAAAAAGCATAGTAATTTTGAAGGAAGAAGAAGCTAGTGCTTGCTTATTCTTTCCCATATGCCAAATCAACTTTTGGAAATAACAAGTAACAACTAGGTTCTACTTTCTTATCCCCTCCATGTTTTTACAGGGCTTGCAAAGAGGACATCATATTGTCCAAAAATCTAAGTTTAGACTCAATTTTTATGACCTCCTTCATTGATCTTAAAAATTATGGGCTCCCAGTTTCCATCTATATAGGATCTGTAATTTGTGGCCACTTCTGTTGTCTCTGTGCATACTTTTATGTCATGATAACTTGCTATATTGTCCCTTTCCTTGCTTGAAGCTCCAGTATGCTTAATAAGTTATTAAGCTTTGTAGTGATAGGATTTCTTGCGTGCATTTGCTTGAATGAAACCCACTTTTAAGGTTAAGTAAATTCTTCATTTACTATTGGTGGTTAACTTTACATTCTCCATGATGCTGCTGTTATTGTAGGGAGGCAAAATTCGTGATCTGCTATTCCAAATACTTGAAACTGAAGAGGATGTTGTAATAAAACATGGAACACAGTCAAGAGAGAACCGAAGAGCGGCTTCAAGGGGAATGCATACATCTAAATTCTGCTTGAATCCTGCTGGTGATACACCATCAGCTTGTAGACTGTTTGATGCTATAGTTAGCTTGTGCGTCCCAGTGATAGTCAGTGATAGTATTGAGTTGCCTTTTGAGGATGCAATAGACTATAGAAAGTTCTCAGTGTTTGTAGAAACTGCAGCTGCACTTAAGCCTGGATATCTTGTTTCCTTGCTGAGAAAAGTACCAACAGAGAGGATTATTGAGTATCAGAAAGCAATGAAAGAGGTTTGTACATTTTTCATCTTCTTTCTTTCCAGTTTTCCATGCAGTTGGTTTCTCAGTTTTCTTTCGCTTCTTTTCTGGTTTAACTCATTACTGAAAAGTTCTTTAAGATTTTGTTTTATTTTGTTAACATAAGGATAGGGGTTTTTATATGTATTTAGTATCACAGTTTATTTGAAGATCAGTTCCCTTTTATCATTATTCATAACATAAATTTTGTGAATACAGGTTAGGCGATATTATGATTACACTGATCCAAATGGAGCAGTGAATGAAATCTGGCGGCAAGTCTCCCAAAAGCTACCACTTATTAAGCTTATGATAAATCGCGATAGACGGCTTGTGAAGAAGGACTCAAGTGAACCCACTTGCTCTTGCCTATGTTCCAACCAGACTGGGATTATCAGTTCCTTGTGATGCCTACTCTTTTAATGGATCTGTTACTCTATATCTGCGAGGTGTAACTGTTTAAGGCAGGAGAGAGTCTACTGATCCCGGGCAGATAATTTATGCAGAAACTCTCAATTTCTTAAAAAGATGAATACAGTCGTATATCCTTTGGATTAGTTTTTTGGTCTCAACCTGGATTTGGCGGAATTTTGGCTATTACAGAAGGTTTTCTCACACATGTTGTACGGTAGTTGAGTACTTTGAACAATTGTAATTGATTTGTACATTTATAGAAAATAAATTATTTGCACTCAAGCTTTTTAATTTTGGTTTTTTGAGTTGAATGTGAGATTTTTCTTGCGCGAAGACTGTTGTTCCAAGTCAAAGGGAAATTATAGGTTGAATAAGGTAATGGTTTTATATGACATATGAATGATGATTGAAAGTTTTATTTATGATCAAATGAAATTACTAAATAAAAATTATGTATTGAAACAAAAATGAAAAGAAATTCAATTGTCATTCATATGCATATAAAAATATTATCTACAATCACATGTAGATATGGTTGATGGTTAATTATATGAACAGGTAAATAAGAATGGATGGGCTTCTGCAAGTTGAGTGGTTGGACTTTAGAGGCCATTTTCCACCGTTGAAAAACACTAAGGTAGCAATTGCCGAGGTGAAGAAGTTTGAGGGCTTGTTTGAAGGTTTTTACATGTAAATTTCTATGATGGGCCACCTTAATCTTTGCCCTTCGATGTTTGATCATACTCTCTCGACGCATTTCAATGGCTCTGATTGAAGGCACGGGTTTCATAATAGTAGGCTCCATCACATGGCATCATATTATATATTTTTATGATATGTGGATATTGCACCAGAGAGCAAAACGAGAGGTAAAAGGTTACTTTCAGTTTCTCATCTTATTAAGTTCGAAGATTTTAACATTTTATCTTATATTATAACATTTTTAATTTATCACCTTATTAAATTTATAGGTTTTGACTTTTCATCTATTAAAATAAAAAAAATAACCTTCACTTTATAATGACTGTTAACTCTATTAGTTGAAAATAGATTTTTATTAACTAACAGTCAACTAAGAGTCAATTAACAAAATTAACGAAATATTATAAAATTAGTTTTGTTAACTCTGTTAGTTAAAAAAAGATTTTTGTCAGTTAATAGTTAACTAATAGTCAACTAATAATCAACTAATAAAATTAACATTCAGTTAACAAAATTAATAAAATGTTATAATATGAGAATTATTTTTTTTAATTTTAATAGGTAAGAGATTAAAAATATCAAAGTATAAAATGAAAGATTAAAATTTACAAATTTAATAAAATAAAAGATAAAAGTGTTATAATGTAAAATAAAAAAAATAAAAAGTTAAAACTTTTAAATTTATTAAGGTGATGTAGCTAAAAGTAAGCTTTTTCAAAACGAAATGGCGTGCTTGACTCTGAAAGTACCAAACTTGAGGTGCTTCTCTGTGTCTGCTCCATCCAGTGGTACCCTCTTTCTCCATTGATTACATTTACTGGATGTGGGCACGCGTGCTTGATTGGAATCCTCGCTGCTGTGTTCAATTTATCAAGTTCCGCTCTCAAAATCCTGCTCAAAGTTTGACTATTTAGAATTCATATTACACACAATCAATCAAGTATGAAATTTTGAGCTGTTAACAAGTTGAGGTGTTTATCAATGATTTATTGATTTGAGTGAAAGAAATTTAATTTTTTTAAAATAAAATCTTAAATTTAAGTTTTATAAATAAAAAAATAAATACTGAGAGATAATTTACTTATGAGATCATACGTGACCTGATTTTGAATTAATTAAAATTTAATATAATTGATGGATATTTAAAAGTTAGTAAAAAAATCCAAGTTAAGTGCTTAATAATTTAATATTATATAAATTTGAATATTTTTTATTTTAATTTTAAATTAATAAATATTAATTTGATAAAATTCTTGTTAATAGTTTTTTTTTTGAATATTTGTTAGTAGTTAAAAAACCCGTAATTAAAGAGAGGTTAACGTAGATAAAAACTTGGAAATGGATGAAAATGTCAAGTGAATCACGCAGTAGCGTGACTCCTTAATAATATGGTAATACTATCATTTAACCGAGTATTGTCAATTTTGACCAGTCATTCCTTTTCATAGAGTTTCAAAAAAAAAAACAAAGGACGAATCATTCCTTAAAATTTTTTTCGGTAAAGACATGGGACAATTCATTTATATAATCTTTTGTACGATATATAATATTATAAATTTTGTTATTAAGATAATAAAAAGAATCATTTACTCTTATTAAATAAAATATAAAATAATATAAAAAATAATATTTATCTGTGTTATTTTTTAAAGATTAAAAAAAATATTATTTCAAAATCACGTTATTTTAATAAATATCTGTTGAAAAAAATTAAAATATTTTATTTTTTTAAGCATGAATTCATGTGTTTTTTTTATTATCTTTTTTTTTAATTTTTTGAAAGTAAAACAGACAAACATTAATTTTTATAAAAAATT